TTATGTTTTCTTGAAATTTTTATGCGTGCAGACACTGACAGTAAAGCGCTTTTATAAGTGTTTTGCAGGTGTGTAATCTCTACTTCAAGCTAGAATAATTACCAACCAGTACCCAAATATGCCGATCCAAGAACTAGTAGTGTGATAGAAGCACCCACGGGGGCTACAAGGTTTATTATAGCCCAGTACTAACAGTTTTCCCAAGCCGTAAGTTATATCACCGATTTCGCCTCATTGAACTTTTTTGCGTGGCAGTGGCCTATTGAATAGGCTATAGCGCCCCAGCTCACTTGTTTCTTTTTTTTTTCGCGCGTCTATTTCACTCTTAGCTTTCTTTTCCATATTTCTTCCTCATTCTCCATTTCCTTAGTGCAGGGTTGCGAACCGGATGCTCCAATTTCTGGTTCACCTTCCTGCTTTTCCCTCATTTTTCTCTCTCTCTCTCTACGCACATCTGCGAGAGGGGCCAGAGCAAAAGAGGAAACGCCGCTTCTTGTGTTGGTCACAAAAGATTTTTGTGAAACAAAAAACTGTTTTCTCTTGCAATGGTCATCGCACTCATATTGTGCGGGATACTGTACTTGTGGCAGCAGCACACACACCCCTCAATAACTACGTGTCTATGAAGACGTACGTTGGAAAGAGTACAAATAAGACTGCAGAAACATTGCAAATTAGTAGAAACAGTTTCTATCCATGCTCTAGATAGTGTTTGTGTGTGCGTGCGTGTGCAAATAATTAAAGAATGAATAAAAGTTACATTTCTTTTTGAAATTTGTTGGTCCATCGAGTTTCACTCCTTATAGATCGACCCCAGCGTTCGATAGCGTCAATATTTGGCTTTTTTCGTGGAAGAAATGGCTTACAGGTGAGTCTCCAAATGCTCTAAAGCGCAATACACTACTTAAACCAGTGCCTTTTTTTTTTACCTAAAAGGCAGAATAAAGCTGTTAAACATGTAAAAGTAGCCGCGAACACATTATCTTTTATCGGGAGACTATTGGTACTTGCGACGGAAGGAGTCATTTATTATTTCTTGAGCTAAGAAATATCTGAAGCTGAGAATTTGGACGAAGTCTCAACTGATCGTGAAGTAATGGTATTGTTGAAAAAAAAAAAGACAAGGCGCCGACCAAGAGGGTATTGAAAATATATTAAAATTTTCAGTATATTTTTCACACTATCTAGGTCGGCACCCCGTCTTTTTCTTTCTACATTCCTAATAAACATCTCAATGCCATATGCGAACGCCACGCTACTGCGTTGTCTAGTCGACCCCCGTCGATCTCTTAGCAATAAAGCTAAAACGAGGAGTTCTTATTCGTACGACACAAGCAACATAATATAAATGGTAGACAAACGTATTCTTCGCATGTCATGCACTTGTGGAATCGATGAATGTTTGAGCAGGACAGAGACACAACAGAACTTCAGCTCTCAATAATTTCTTTTAATCCCATGCGTTATTCATATTAAGCAAACAAAAACAAATATTTCACTTCTGGAGAAACGCCGCAGGCTTATTGAAATTCGGAACAAAATCAAGCACATCATGTAAGAGCACTCTCAGCACTTCGAGAGTATATCGAGATGCAGAGAATGACGTGTTGTTCTAGTACAACGTATCATTTTTGTACGAAAACTTATGAGAGATAGAACGTCACGCCCACTTGAAACGAGGCACCGGCAAAGAAAACATGAGCGCCAGTTCAAGGCAGAAAAAAATTCAAGGACACGACGACAGCCTACAGAACGTAGACATAGCTGACCATCGATACATGTTTTAATGTAGACTTTCAAGGTCGGTGCGTGAATGCCCATAGTATTTATTTTAAAAACACCAGGAAAGCAGACCAGGAAGATTCACAAAATCAACGTTAACTCACACTTGAATATTTCTTTCAGTCAAAGGACAGTCAAGTGACAGCTTTCTTATTTAATAAGTGAATGGTTTGAAGCCCTTGAAATCACTAACATTTTTATTTTTCACCGAAATAAAATTACCAAGCATGAACGACAGGTGAACGACAACTTCAGATGATAAAGAGTAGGTCTGCCCTTAGTATTGGTGAATTCACGTTATATTAGAAAGCTCAAGATTGTGCCTTAATTAAGAAGGAAGCACGCAAAGACATCAGGCCTCGTTTTCTAAAAACAAAAGTAGAACGCTGACGTGCGCCATCTGACACCACAAAGTAGCATTTGAGAGCTAATAGATGCTCAAATGGGGTGTCTCGAGTTAGGCTTCACTACCCGGCGCAGCCCACGCTGTTCGTTATACAATTACTTGTTCTTTTTTAATCTCCCCTTATCGCAGCGCCGCCACAGCAAGTTGTTATCGAACAAGTAACCGCGTACTCCGCAACGCGCGGTAAACATCGGAAACGAAATTGTACGCCTACTTCTGGACGTATATCAAGAGAATGATTTTTTTCTTATTTATGCTTCTTTTTGCGAACATTCTTAGTGTTTAAGCATATTATTCTACTTATTTTTTATCGATAGAGTGCTGTAACAAAGCTTAATCACCAAGGATTCCAGTTTAAAACGGGATTCCGGTATACCCTTCATGCCTAACTTGTTCTGTTTATTCTTTTTTTTAATTAGGGACTTTGCTAGTGGGCTAATTTCGGAGTACCTTGTCTATGCGATGCGTGTTGAAAGTGATATGAAGAGCAGCCTCCACAGTTTTTAATGAATTGATTTCCTGATCTAACTTTTCATATGGCACAGCTGTTCCGCAGCTGCTGTCTGCATCTTTTATGCCTCATCATCCAGAAAACATACGCTGCTTAGCTTGCATAGGGCAGCGTGGAGTTGGTGTGAAAAAAAAAAAAAAACACGACAGAAAAGATGTTCGAACCGACTAGCCTAACAACTCACTACTTCTCTGGTTTGTTGCGACCATATTCTTAAAAACAAAACATTGTTCTGCCGCATGCCTTTGTAAGTGCAGATGCCGCATTTTTGTTACTGTACTCAAAATACTGCTTCCATTTCTTCTATAGCTTGCATAGCATCCACGGTTGTTCTTTTGGTCGCATATATCTAAGAGCGCCAAGATGCTCTTCATATTATGTGCTGACTCTTATGCATACAGAGAGAACACTCTGGTGTAAACAGAGATAAACACACAAGAAAATAGTTATTACATTTTTGAACTTTACATAGCCGCAAGCATGAATTCAATTCGTCGCTTGCGCGGCAGGTAGACAGTGTGTGGAGTTGTCCGAATGAACATTCAGGCAGTTCACTTCAGTATCAAGAGAATGGAGGCAAGTATGTCTTTTTATTCACCTATGAGCAAATCACTGCATCATTTGCTTATGAAAAGCGGAATCATCAAACGCTAAACTTCACACGCCACAAACTAGTCAACAGCGCAAGAGAGAGAATCATGTAACAATAGCCTGGTTCCTTCATCCACGCACCTCCAGACGCCCTCAAGTGAGTAGCCTGCTGCTAATAAAAAAAAATAGAAAGCTAGCATGTAAGAGAGTGCTTGGCAGAAAGAGAAATATTTGAAGTACCACTTTTCTTTTTTTTTCTTAAGCTCCTTTTGTATACCGGAACGAACTCGCACTGAAGATTGGTGCAGGAGTAACGAGGGAAGGAGAGAAAAAAGAACGGCGGTCACTGGGTTACCTCACTTTGCACTCAGCCACTTCATTAGGCAATGATGGCTTTAAGGCAAAACACGCAACTGGCCATTAGGCCGCATAAATCAAGCCTTTCACGCAGTCCAGAATTTGTTTTCTCACACCCCTGTTGACCAAGCTTCGCAATACATGGCGCCAACCAGACACTTTAATTTTCGCGGCAAGGAAAAAAAAAAAATAAACCAGAAGAGTAGTTCACGACCTCATCAAGCATAAATTCAGAAGTAAAAAGAAAGAGAAATGCGCAGTGCTTCGAGCAATTCTATGAATGTTTCATGCGTTAGCAGACCAAACTTTTAAAGGCTTTGTCCGCGCTACATTGGGGGTATATACGTATAAGAAAGAAGGAATATCTGCGAGCTCTCGTCCGGAGGAGTATTACGGTGGAATAATCACCGCCTTTGCTGTCTTTTTTAATACCTGCGCTAGAGTACACTTTAACGGAGCGTTTTATATGCAACATCTCTGAAGTCGTTAAACATTTTTCTTTAGACACCGCGAACAATGTTGGGGCCAACTTTCAAACTGGGACGTGAGAAGGAGAGAGCTGTCTTTTTTGTATGCTTGCTTTTTTTGCAAACACTGCGTGAACACTAAGCGAAATAAAAAAGAACAACGGAAACGGAATGCCCTGTGTACCATCGGGGGAGGAACTAAATCATGTAAGCTCCTCCAACCGGCTAAAATAATTAAAAAAATAAATTACATAACAAAAACGGCAGTTTACCTATACTTTACACTCGTGCAGTTATTTATTTACAGTCCACCACACGGTAACGGTTCACCACAACCCTATGTGTACTAGATTCACTTTTCACCTAAAAAAAGAAAACGAGAGTGCTAGACCACGAAAGCGGACAGAAGAGAAAGGAAAATGAGACATTGCAGCTCAACTTCCGCCAAGATCATTAGCATCAATATCAACGTCCTTTCCTGCAACTCCACGCTGCAGGGAACACATTTCCTGTCACCAAATGCTGAGCGATCAGGCACTACTAGAACTTCAAATTAAGAATTTGCAAATCAGTTGCGATGAAATGCGACTAATATCATTGTACACTTCTTATGCCAAGACAACTGTTCCCACTAAGTCACAGAGGTCATTCCAGAAAGGATGCCGAGGTCCCGCATTAAATTGCACCCGAATAATGACCGACTTCACAGAGGTTCTTCCTGTGACATGCTTTTTACCATTGTTTGGCTGCTGTCGTGAGCACTGTTTGCTATATATATATATATATATATATATATATATATATATATATATATATATATATATATATATATATATATATATATATATATATATATATATATATATATATATATTACGAACGAACGACTCTAACATAATAACTTTTCGGTGCAAGCAATATTTTTTTTCTTTTACACAGGCATGAAAGGAAGAAGTGGAAAGAACAGCTCTCCACTTCTCTTGGACCACCCTGGCGATTATCACTTCTTCCAGCAGAGTTGTTCCTAACTGGTGGCGTAATCACACCTTTAGATTCCTTAACGTGACACGACGATAAGACTTAGCCACGTGGCTCTATCCAACGCATCGTCGCTTTCAAAGAAAGTCACAAGGAGCACCCGCATTGACGGGGTATGCTACATTCCAGGCACACGGTCTTTCAATGAAATTTCGCCTGTTTTGTTTAATTTTCATGCATTTTGATATCGGGTACCACAAAAGCAGTCTCTGCTAGCAGAAGCTGAAGCGATCATAGGCGGATACGATGAAACACTTTCCAGGAAAAGCGGTGGTCGAGCACAAACACAGGTACACGTCTGCACAGAAGGTGCCATCCGCTGCTCGGGGGCGTGTGGTGACCGGTCAGGAAATGAAGAAATAAAGAAATGAGAAGAGAGAGAGAGAAATCATCATTGCCACCAACACACAAAGAGAAATAACGATCGAACAGCCACACCACATTACTTGGGCTCCGTGCTATGTACAAAGGAAGGACGCGAGAGTGCTTTCCAGTCCAGAAATATTAAAAAGTTATGGTTCATCCGCATCGTTAGCTGCTCGGCGACGCGTCCTCGTAGAAACGTCCGTACACACTACGACTAAATAGCTGGCGTTCGTCCACTGGAAAGTAAAGGAAATGCTACACCTTGTGAGCTTACTATAAGGAAATGCGGACGTGCTGGGATAAATATGTGTTCCGAAACGTCACTTCCAGCACAGTGTCCTACTACTGGGAAGAAGTCCTATATACGGCCACACTGCTCCATTTCAAGTTTTTTGTAAAAAGCACGGTTGGGCTCAGTCATACAAACATCTGAAACGAACACTTTGCACTCGCTGGGGCGATCATTTTGCTTGGAAAATCACACACGTTTCGCCAGCTTCTTCAAACAGTCTTTCCTCCATTTTTCCTCTCTCGGTTTCTCTTCGAAGATATTTTTTCATGTGTCCGCGGCGCTGTTTATTTAAGACGACGCTGTGGCAGCAATTGTTGTTTTTTGACAGGAGATGTGCACAAACAGACAATGGCCTCGTTGTGGAGCGAGGAGACGAGAAGCCAGAGTGATGTGCTGCTGAAACTTATAATATAACACAGCAAGAACGCCGAGATCCATGCTTTAGATTTAGACTCTGGGGCCGGCGCGGCGTAGATGCCCAACTGTGAACTCACAAATAACACATCTTTTCACTAAGAGGAAATAATTCCCCATGACCGCAAGTCCGCATCAAGGCCACGTTGGTCGAAAAGAGTCCGGATTTACTTCTTTCAATTTCGTAAGACATTTTCTGGGCTTCAGAAATCCTCTCGCTACGCCGTTTTACCACAGCGCCAAGGCGTTTATCACAGTTCGGTCACGGGAATCAACTTCAAGGGCTGGTGAGCCACTTGGCACATGCTGTTGTCGTCTTCGCCGTGTGTCTTGTGGTACTGCGGCTCCTTGGTTCCGTTTCCCCACTTGTTCTTGAGGACGCCGGCGACTCGTTCCCTAAATCGGAAACCGAGGGCCACGATGAGTGCGAACAGTATCGCAGCCGCTGCCACGACACCGATGATGATCTGCCGCCGAAGCACGGCATCGTAGCAGCCCAAGTCCGCCGACCCGATGTCTCTCAGTAACTTGTCCTTGACCGCTGGTGGCCCACCACCGCAGCGTATCAAAGCGGTTTCAGGAGTCAGCGGCGAATTCGTGGTGTTGCGGTCACTGCACATGTGCCACAGCCATAGTACGGTGCAATTGCAGACCAGAGGATTGTCCCTGAGGTCGAGCTCCTGCAGCTCGTACCACTCGAGAAGAGACTCATCGAAAGTCGTAAAGCCGTTGCCTCGAAGAATCAAATGCTTCAGACCAGCCAGGCCACTGAACGCTCCGGGCTCTATGCACCGGAAGTTTATGTTGTGTGTCATGCGGATAATTTGAAGGTCCGTGTTCTCGGCGAAAGCACCTCGGTCGATGCAACGGAGCGCGGCAGAGCCGCTCACTTCCAGAGTTCTCAAGTACTTGAGGTACTCGAAGGCCCGCGGTCGAAGCCTCGGGAACTTGTTCTGTCCCAAGTTGAGAACTTCCAGCCGTGTTATATCCTGGAATGTTGCAGTGGGCACTTCTTCGAGCTCGTTGTCGTGCAGCTTCAGCTGGCGCAATGCTGAGAGCTGTCGAAACGCGCCGTTCTGCACCGTCTTTACACCGCAACCATCTAAGGACAGTTCTTCGAGCTGCTTCAGTGCCACGAAGGCTTCCTCAGGAATATTGGAGAACATGTTAAGACCGAGATCCAGGTTTAACAAAAACGACAGCGGCGCAAACGCCTGGCTCGGTATCGTCACAAACTTATTGTCTCGTAGCAGTAGGGTCTTCAGCTTGGTCAGTCCCTGGAACGCCTGCTCGGTGACCCTGACTAGGCGGTTCTGCGACAGATCCAGCTTCTCCAGCTTCTTCAGTGGCGCAAATACACCAGCCGGTATGCTGTCAATGTAGTTTTCGTTCAGTAGCAGCGTCTGTAGTTCATCAAGCCCTTTGAATGTTGTGTTGTCGAGCTGCGAGATCATGTTCCTCGCTAGAACGAGCACGACAAGGTACTTGTGCGAATGGAAGTTCTCTTTGCCCAGCGACACAAGCTGGTTGTGAGAGACATCCAGGTAGCGCAGGTTTCCGTACACGCTGAACGAAGATACGCCACTCTTGATGTGGTTATTCAGGAGGCTCAGCTCACGCAAGTTCGGGTTGAGCGTGATAGGCACCACTTCCAGGTAAGCCGAGTCACACACTACTCGCAGGTTCTCGTCATCGCAGACACACCGCGACGGACACATGGCATGCGCTGCCATACACGTCCAAGAAGCCAGGAATAGCAGACGCAGCAACCGAAGCCGCGTCTTCGCGACACCCAGGCACCCTGGCATGGCCGGAGGGGTGGACACGCTTTGTCTGCTATCGCCTGCAAAAGAACAGAACAAAAGATAAGTGTCAACGACGATGCCAACTAGAACAGATACAGCTGAATAATCATTACAGAATAATTGACAGTGCTCAGTTACTGCGGCATTGACACACATACCAGGCAATGTAACTGTTCTAGTTCTTCGACTCAGCTGCACAAAGAAAGTTGTGAAAGTCTGCCGTGGTGGTGTAGAGGTTACGGTGCCCATGTGCTGACCAGAAGGTCACGGGTTGATCCCGAGTACGACAGTCGCACTTCAATGGAGGCGCCCGTGCGCTGTTCGATGTCAGTGCACGATAAGGATCGCCAAATTGTCGAAATTGCCGGAGCCCGCCACTACGGCGTGTTTCACAACCATGTCGTGGTTTGAGCACCTAACACCCTAGAAATTAACAACATAAATGGGGATATATGCACCGTTTACATGATCAAAATATCAGAGTCACTGCTCAATGTCAACATTAGATTTTATTAATTGTCAATTTATCATGAGGCGAATGTGCGCAACTAACAATATTCCCCTTCAGTTTGAACACCACAATGTATGCACCGCAAAGTGCTACCCCACAAAGTAAAGGTATACGCAAAATATATGGATGAAAGGAAGACGTAAGGTACCTACACACGGTCTCTGTGTGTACTGAAGTTTTTGTGCTGTCCGTGCTTTTCAAAACGTTTCTCTTCTGTCCATGGTATCATTCCTAATTACGAGCAAACATTAGTAACCTTCCAACGCATCCTCCCATAGTCTGCTCTCAAGCTAGCATATAACAGGCTCGATTTATCTGTACTATAGTACATTCAAAAGTTACTTTTGGCGGTCACCATAGCCAGTAAATCTGCGTTGAATCATTCAGAAGAAAGTAAACCTTAGTAACTGTCTAAACAAGGAATATTAGATATTCGTGTGTGTGTGAGCTTTGAACTCTTGAATCTGACTCAGTCTTCGGACAAAAGCTACACTCTTAAAAAAAATGGAGTGACGTACTCTCCATTTAGGGAGGAACGGCGATGTCCCCAATGTTCGTCTTCAAATAGAGAAACGTTGCTCCCTCATCCACGGAGAAACACGTTTCTCCTTATGAAAATCAACATGGCTGCCCCCCGACGAAGCGAGTAGGCTTAGCAAATGCAACGATTCTCGACTGGTAAGGAGTACACGGCACTGAAAGTTACAAAAAACGGTCCCGCTGAGCTTGATATTGAACGAAATTGTTATAAAAACAAGCAGACGAACCTGTGGCGGTGAACACATCGCGAAAGAGAACGATGGAGCAAGTACGTTTCGTTCGGTCAGCGAAGCCACGTTCACTCCGAAAGACACGGTTTCTGCAGAGCCCTCACCTGAAGAGTGCATGCTAGGCTTGCTGTATTTATTTCTCGCAGATTCACATAGTGTAGCGACGTTATCCATGCGCTTACGGGTCCGCAGGTCACGAGATGTGCCTCCAAACCGTACACTCGATCGCAGCGAAACCATTCCGAATCCGTAGTGCAGCTTTGATAGATAGATGTTCAACGATGTATAAATGACTGGAGGTGTGAGAGCGTCAAAGCAATGAAGTAGGTGGTAGGTGGCGCCATCTGAAGGGATTGATCAAAGTTAAAAAAAAAAAGTTGACTGCCGCGACGTTTGTTGTTATTACTCACTATCACGGCTCCCTTGTGGATTGTTTACGCTACAACCCATTCAAGACCACTTACGGACACCGAAAGCTTATTATGTGCTGATGCAATCTATATAGCTACACATGCAAACATGGTCACATAGTACACAAATAGTACGCAACAAGTACACTAGCGTATACGCTAACAAGTACGCAACAAGAGCACAATTAACCATTCAAAACCAACGGCTCACACCTCGACGTGTTTACTCACACTCTACTGTGAAAGCGCGCCAGCTTATATAGCGATGAATTTCAACTGACCTGAGTGGCACAAGTTACAAGTAGGTTTTCTTACACTTTTTTTCACGTTTTTTATCAATACCACAACATGCGCACACGTAAATATATTGTATCTGATGCTTAGGTAAACCTTAGTTAATCAATGGTTGCACAGTAATGAACGGAATAATTACTAGAGCTTATCAGGTTTTCACGAAGGCGGATGCCCCAAGCCGTGCTTAGAATGCCCACGGCAATTCGATCGCTGCGCCATCTGTCGACCACTGCCACAGTTACTTTTTTTTTTCTTGAAGCCTCTGAGAGTGCAAACACTTGCCACGCGTTAGCCATTTCGGAGGTCACGTTTTTTTTTTTCTTCTTACTTGGAGAGGGCGCAGCATGCAGACCAAACTTTGTCTCCGTCGTGGTAGGTGTTCTGTGGTCACGTCGACCTCGTTTAGTTGTTTCGTCTTAACGTTTGCTTATATTCTTTTTACGTGCGTACCACAAGTGTGGCCGTTAGCCATGTATATAGTACACCACTAGCCCTTTAATGACAATGTTTTAATGCGGTAACGACCGTCCTAGCAGTGTATACGTACGTTACAACGCGGGTCTTGCGAGATAAATAAGCGATGACCTCGCATCCGACGGTATTTTTTCGTGAGCCATGACAGTGGCTGTTGGCGTCGCGGGAGCTCTCATACTTGAGTGGAGGAACTATCGCTGCAGTGCGCAAGTTTACTATAACTTTATAGAATGTTGTGCCTGCATACTTTTCTGCTTCAGATGCCTCTCGCGATTCGCCTCGCGTGTCAACTTGCAATCATAGTGCGTGCCACAATTTTGTTGTTATCGCTGTGGATGTGGTGGTTATTACTCTGGATTCGGAATACTCTTTTCACAAAGGTGAGTGAGCGTTAGTACTTACTTGCTGTGCACAGCTGCTACTAGAAGTGCATTTTGTGTTGAGTTTCTCACGACAAAGGAGAATCATGGACGAGAAAGACATGCTGCTCGCGTGCATAATTCCTTCCTACTTCTCAGTGCTGGCATGGGCAATTCAAAACGAATGCGGTTGAGAATTTGGTTTAACCTGCAGAAGTCATTGGTTCACTTTTCACAAACGTTTAGTTATGATGATGTTTAAAATGTTTCTGATGGTTTTAATCTAGTCTGGCGAATAAACGCTCGGTGAAACTTCGCAGCCTGTTTCCCTTTGTGCTTTCATCTGCCGGGGTAGCATAGCCTTATTGGGTGTCGTGTGACTATGCTGATGGACGCAGGTACGACTTCCGGCCACGGCGGCCGTATTTGAATGGGGGTAAACTGCAAAGAACATCCATATGGTGGTAGTGGCACGTATAACTCTATCAATTGTATATGATCGTACTTTCACGCATGGACTGTAGAGTGGTATCAGGTTTCCTACACTATTGAAAAAATAAGTGTGATGCTTTTTTACGCGCCTCGTTGAATTCATGAGTGCTGTTGGTGCCGTGCGAAACTAAAAATGCGTGGGCTTACCAAGTATGTCGACACCGAAAAAAATCATTATTTTTTTACACTCTAATGTAATCGATAAAGCAAGACTGCTTGGGAAGCAGAGCTTCTTGTATTCGTGACAAATTGGTAGTATGAAACAACACGAGACACACATGGAAGTGTGCGGAGCATCGTGCGAGTGCCTGACGATAAAAAAAAAAGAGAGGCTTTTACTCTATACAAATAAAACAAAAGAAAACGTCATTCCTGCATTGCTTACAACAATCTTAGGTTAAAGCAATCGCTCGCGACTGGCCGCGGGCGGCTATAGGCTTGGCGTGCGCATGCGCGCGAGCAAGACCCCCGTGATTGAGGAGTAACTTGAACACTGAAGGAGAAACGTTGCTCCTTTGGTCCTTGCCGCGAGAGGGCGCGACAGGTAAAGCGCCCGAAAGGGAGGAAGTCGCTGCGCCGAAGGAGGAACGGAGCCCGTTTCTCCATTCTCGCTCCCTTTTTTTGTAGAGTGTAGCGTTCACTGGCACGCGAAACGACTTACTATTGATTGTCCAAGTTATGTTGGAGTGTTTTGGCGGACAGAGACTGCAGTTCTTTGAATCTGCTCAGCGAGAATATTCGAGTCACCTAGTTTGGCAAATAAGCATTAATGAAAACTTAGTACACATGTGGTATCGCTGGAGCTCACGTTTTGACAAACAGGCTCATATTCTTCAAGGCTTGAGCAGTTGAAGCCTGAAGAGGAGAGGTTCACTTGTCGAAACGTCGCACTCCATGTTGACGAACTTTTCATTTTTAATTAAGGCTTATATATTTTTTCAAACTTCTGGCTCTTTTGGAGTGTGAAGGTCTAGTAAGGCGAGCTCAGTGACACGAAATTGCACTTCCTTCAATTATATGCCTTCTCTCCTAAGCTCGCACAACAAGTTAATTTTTCACGGACGCCGTTGGAAAGCAGTAAGTAGCTAGCTCGATAGAGGCACACCCGACAAGTTCATCGCTTGACACGGCGCACGAAAGCTGCTGCAGCTATCAAGGGGCAAGCTAGTCACCGTTGAAACGCAAAGTATCCTGTACCTTACTGCTAAGTCCGTCAGTAAAGCAAGCCGTAAGTCACACCATTTAGGGTGGCCAACAAAATGACTCACCGAGCACGGATACTTCACCAATTAGTTTGTAACGACGAGTATACCATGCTACAACAAAGACGCCTTAGAGCCATTGCCTGCTGAATGTATTACGACCGGACCCACCAGCTTCTTCTTCCCCCTCCGAATTCCCAAACAAGGATTCATCTCTCCAACTAGATCTTTCTCTCCGAAGCCAAATCTCGTTTTAGCTTGGAGCCAGGAACAAGTCCCAGATAACAAGCGGTGAGTGGTGAGGACGTACATCTACAGATCGTGCCGCCCTTTCACTCTTTTCTTTTTTTTTTAATGCTTTGCCAGAGTGGCCGCAGAAACGCCCTGCGAGCGTCTTCAGGCTCCACTCTAATTTCTTTCAATCCAGCCCGCAACCAGGGAAACCTAAAGGTGCCTCTGTGCTCCAATCCATTGTCAGCACAATGGCGTCACTGGCCCCGCCTCCCGGAGAAGCGCGGCAGCGGAG